CCTCCAAAACTCTTATAAATAGTATGCTGCGGGACCCTTCTCAGATTCCAGATGGAGTGCTAGCAAATCAAGTCTATCAGGTATTAATCACACTTGTTTTGTTTGCTTTGGATTTTTTTTCCTTTGGCAATTCTGTTATCTGCCTAGCAGAGTAAAAGATTTTAAACCTCATTTAATTACTGTCATCATAAACTATCAGTGAGGTCAGAGTGCACTATAAATGGCAGTGCAATATTTGTGAGGGGAGCATTTCACTTTTTAATAGCTCACTTTTATAGTGAATAAAAGCATTCCGTTTTTGTTTTCTGTGATTAAATCTGAACAGCATCTGATAGCCTTTTTTAGGAAAAGTAATTACTGTTTTTAAGATACTCTTTAACTATAATGGTTTTGTAGTTGCCCATCAGTATACTACTTCTCTTATTTGTCTGCAGTGTACTGTGAATGACTGTTGTTATGGACCACTGGTGGACTGCATCAAACAGTATCCTTTCCCATAAAATTTTAGGTGCACAATTGATGAGCTTAGACTGTGTGGAAGAGATGTGTCTAGCTTTAACCTGACATAAAGTTCTGCTTCACAAAACACATTTCATACTCCTCTCTTTTACATTCAATCAACTAGAGGGTCACTGCAGAGCTTTCTCTTAAGTAACAAAAATCAGATGGACCATGGGAAGATGTCAGTTTGCTGGTTACACATTCATATGCCTGATTGAACCTCTTTGGTTTTGATTAGTTGAAATGCATATCTGGTTTTTGCTTAAGGCTAAGTGACCATGCTTTGAGTGGTGGAGTTGGACTAGATGATCTCTGGAGATACCTTCCAATCACAACTATTCTGTGATTAAATTAATAAATTTCACAGATAGTGTTCAACATTATGGCTTTACTTTGTTACGAATATGAGTTTTAACTGAAATTTTTTCAAGTGCAATTCAGGTGTGATTGACCTGATGATTAGTATTTTTAAACTCCTATCTGACATTCCAGTGCTGTTCTTTTATTTTCTCTTCTTCTTAAAGGAGATTATACTAGCTGTAGTAATAAACCCTTATAAATCCTGAATTTTCAGGGATATATTTTTTTTGTCCTGTTAAAGTAGTTAATTAGAGAGCCATAGTGTGTACACTGAGGGAACTCCATGTGGCACTGGGTGTTCCAGACTAAGATAGGATTTTGGTAGGAATGATCGCTAAGAACCCAAATCTATTTTAATGAAGTCCTGCAGGAGCAGCTCTTCTGTTTCAGTCTGTTGTCAAAGGAAAAATCTCAAAATCATAATCTGCTAGCACTAAGCAGGCTAGTAAGGCAGTTCCCTCCCAAGTCCTAGAGAATCCTTGCATGAATCTCTGCATACAGTATGGGGAAAGATTTTGGTTTCCCTGTGCAGGTGCAGGGTAGGAAAGCTAAAGTGATGTTTAGTTATGCATGAAAAACAGTACTTCTTGTAGTTGTGATACAGGTGATTGTCACTCTTTAAGAATACTTTCTTTCCACTAAAAACACTTGTGTCTACTACAGCCTCAGCCCTATCCCCATAAACTTTAGCAGCAGCAGGATAAAGTTCTAATTGTCATTGTGTTTTGTGCTTTTAATTGTAATTTTAAATATTCATTGAGATTATCTTCATGATTAAACAAAGTGCTCTGAAAGTGGATTAATCTAATAGGTCACACATTTTAAAGGGTTGTTGATCGCTAGTTTTCATATCTAGAATTTTAAGATTAATATTTTTTGCATGAGCAATCTGGCTGTAGTCTTACGAAAGTGCCATGTTATGTATTAAAAGTAATAAAGACACATATATAGAATTATGAACCATTTTTGAGACTTACTTGCCTGCAGTCTAGAAAAGACTTTTATATCCTCTTCAGATTCTGGCTCAAATCAGTTGTTGAATATGCAGTGACACCAATGAGGGTAATGAGGAGTTTCTCAATTCAATTTGGCACAGGAAAGCTTAATACTAAGCTGTGTGAGTGCATTACTGCAAGTATGTTGCTGAATTAGATGTTAATTTTGAGGTGCATAAAATAGTTAAAAATCAATTTAAAGTTAAGGTTTTAAAAGCATAATGTCTTCTGAAGGATTGCATATTGATTTTAAATATAACTATCTAATTGTATATGCAGGGACCAAAGTATGAAGTCAACCTCTTTGTAAATGCCAAGAGGCTATTTTTCAGTAATAGTTCAGATGCTTACGGGAAACTAGGCTGCTAGATTGCATGAGTAGAAAATGGCTTGTGAGGTTATTTACAAGTTTTGCCCCATGGTCATTGCCATACATCAATAACAGGTATTATTATAGACTAAGTGTTTTTGCTTATGGTGCATTGTAAATTCTGTTTGCAGTATTTTTCTTACCTTTTTGCCATTCTTTGTTTTTCCCTTTTGTTCTGAAATTGCTAGTAGAGTTTAACATAATACATAGTTTGATATAAGCTGTATGAACATATGAAATGATTCCATAGAATTATTTTTTTGCTCTTCACTATGAAGTGTTCATGTAAGTAATTGTCTGTAATGGTAAGGTGATCTGCAGCTTAAGCTTTAAGAAGTTACTTTAAACAGAATTTGGAACTTAACTGCTTTTAACATAAGATCTTTTATCATATTGTTCCAAAGGATTCTTCTTAAAAGCTTCCAGAATAGAACTTTGACCTCCAGGAGGATACATTAGAAATATTTAATTTGGTGACTATTTACATATTGCAAGGAATAGTGCATTGGATCAACAAGCTGTCAGTGAAGTGAAAAGGACTTCACTATAAAATACGATTTCATCTTTCCCTGACATTAGTTCATGCTTCTGAAAAATCAATTAAAAGGATGTTTTTTTACAGTAAGATGTTTCAGATGGATGTAGTACCTATCAATTTAAGAATATAAAGAAAGAAAACCAGTTGGTTTTTTTTCCAGCAAGTCATTTGCTGGATTGGAGAATTGATTACTAATCAGTAAATAGCAATTTTAAAGGTATTTAACTTCATGTTTTAGGATCACACTTCCTTTTATATTTAGAAGAATAATGAGTAAAATACAAATGGAAATATTGCCCTTGATTATTTTGAATAAATATGGTCAAGTGGTTCTTCATTCTATAAAATGTATGTTGTTGGTACAAAAATCTGATTTTTGCAAAGTTGTGTATGCTTCTAAAAATCCCTATAAGGATTTTCAAAACTTAGTGTTCAAATCACTGGTCACTTCTGAAACACAGATGAAGGCAAATAAATTCTATGGTTAATTGCTTTACCTATGATGTTTTTATGAAGTTGCTTCTTTTCCAAAGTAATCTGCCATTTCTTAACCTAAAGCTATCAGCGCTATTGGGCATGAGCACGAAGTCTTGCTGCGAGAAATGCTTTTGGAAAAAAACCTCTCTTTCATAGGTAAGAATCTGTAATAGAGGCTAGCCAGTGAATTCTTAACTTCAGAGATCTTGGTAACTGTTTACCTAGGACAAAATTCATCCCAAATACTCCCTATATTAGGTAGTAAAGAAGAGTAAAATATGATTGATGCTATATATGTTATCTTTTATTGATTTAGAACTGAGCAGGAACTCAGTTACCTAATACCCTATATATACAGCACATGCACAGGCTTGCAATTAATATTTTATAGAATAAGTAGTTGAAAAAAATGCTTTAATATCTGCTGCAGTATTACTTTTGGTGTCATGAGATATTAGCCATAATCCAGGCCTTATGAGATTTAGGAAGAAGCATATGAGATATTAGCTTCAGAATGCTTTATGTATTAAAGAACTGCTAGAAGATTCACTCATTTACCTTGCTGTGCAGTTTCTGCTGAATTTTTGCCCCCTGCTTCCCAGTCAATGCAATTACTCTTTTTTACACTCCCTATTTTTAAAGTTATTTTAAGGATTAATTAGTTAGGAAGTTACTTTCATATTTTTCCTTTGAGCCTGCAGTATATTTCTTTTACATGAGTGCCATTGAAACAAAGATTAATGTTTAAAGTATCCATTCTCTAGATGTGATAATAAACAATGACTTCTTAAATCTCAGATTCCTTATATGATGAGATGACAGTGAAGTGAAATGCTCTCTTCTGTTAATGGTTGAGCATTGTACTAAATTTGTGTTAACAGGGAATTTTGCTGTGTTTACCTGGAACTATGATCTCTCCTGAAGCTATTAGCAGGTTAAGATTTTGGACACCTTAAACAATTTTAAGTTAGAAAGCATTATTAAACTTTTTAAGAGATTTGTCCGTATGATTAAGGAATCGAATTAGTGTGTTCTTTTATTTTAGAGAAGAGTGAAAAAAAGACAGGGTTAACTATCACATACAAGCTTGCAAATCACACTATGAAAATAAGAAGCAGATATTCTTATTTGACTGTAAGAGCACAGATACAGATAATAGGCTTAAGCTGTAATTGCACTGATGATGGCAAGTTAAAGTACCAAACAGTTCTAGGAACAATAAGTATAAAACAAGTTGCCAGGAAAGGTTGTGGAAATACTGTCAATGAAAAATTCGAGGCTAGATTTGACATCTGTCAAAGCTGGTAATGAAATCAGTTCTGTCACGATACCAGGGAATGGACTGGATGACTCACTAAGGGATCCTCAACCCAACGATTATAATTTTATTTGGCTTGCTTAAACAGTATAAAAATCACATTTAAATTTTAGTGTTTCATGACTTTGGATAAGCATCAATTTTGTCTTTAGAGATTAGCTCCAAGAAATTTGTGCTATTAAATTAAAACATGTAGAATGGGTTAACTTGTTAGAATATGAAGATAGAAATGAGAGAGCTTAATTTGTTGTTCACACTTTATGTATAGTGAAGTATTGTTTAGTCATGATTTAAGATATGTTAAGATTATGTCTGTGATCAGATGTATGTATTTCAGGTTCTAGATGTGTTTGGGGTTTGGGGTATTCTTAAAAAAAACTTTCCCTAAGTATTAGATGAACCCTACCAAGTTCCTTGCAATACAACTTTCCTTTTTGAAAAGCTAGTTCCAAAACTGCTTGAAGAAAACACCAGAAAAACAGAAGAGACGATAATATTTCCCATAGGTCCACAAATTCAGGTTTTGTAGCATCCTTCATTCTCGTTTTGAAGATGGCTTGTGATTTACATGCCTTATGGCTTGTAATCCCATTACTTTTTAGCACATTTCAAAGTAACAGAAAATTTGCAGTTCCCATATTATTAGTGTACTATTCCACTGTACTGTTCTTCAGGAATAGTCAGGGCGTTTGTATCAAATGTGTTCACCTGGGCAACGGAGAGTCTAGTTCAGGAGAGGAAAGTACAGTCAAAGGACACAGTGAATATCAAGTGCCTCAGTATAGTCTTAGAGCATGAAGTCACTTTTCATGTTCAGGACAGAATTTGTCTGTTTCTAGAGCAGTTGGCTTTCAAAGCCTACAGATCAGAAGCAACACCTTCAGACTCACCCTGGAATTGACTGGAATCCTATACACACTAACAGGGGTTACATTTTATTAATCCACTGTTCATGAGAAGTGCTTCATATACCATGTCCTCTCTTCAGCAGAAACAGTTCTCAAGTGTTTATCACTTGGCCTGAGATTAAAGTGATCAATACAAGCATTTTATTAAAACAGGCTCACAGCTTCACATGCCGTGCTGAGATGCCAGAAGTTCCTTTGGTTCCCACCAGTGGATGTAAATCATGAAATCTGATCAGTGTTTTCTGCTGTAATCTTAAATTTGCAGTTGTAGCTCATTCATGCACCAGCAGAAGAGGGCTAGTATAAGAACAATGATGTGTTAAATGGTTCTGATTGAGTGTGACATTGTGGTAAAGATGGAGCTGCAGTTTTATTGGAAAACTAAATTAATGGAGTATCTGTTGACAAACTACTTACTAGGGCTGTTTCCACATAATTTTCAAACCTGAAGATTTATAAATGTAACTGTCAAAACTGCTGTGGGCTGGCTTTCAAGCAGTTACTGAATTATTTTCTTAAGTGATGCTAGAGTTTAAAGATCTTTTGAGGTGCAGAATTCTGCCTCTGTATTTTCTGGACCAATGTGAAACATATCTGGCTGAAAAGCTAGAACTTCTTTTTGATGGTGTTATGGTTGAAAACAAAAATTTTACTCTGATTATGAGGAGTTTCACTTCCTCAGAGTTATAAGGCTTCAAAACACTTGGAGAAATAGTAATGCAAAGTTGTGTTTCTGCACATAGTTACATCAATAATAAATGTGGTTTTTAATATGTTTTCCAATGTTAATCACAGTTCAGAATGCTAGGAGAAACCACATGAAGATATTCAGAACCAGATTTAAAACAAAAAGCATGTTCTTTTTCAAACTATGAGCTAGTATTAAAATATTTTAAAAGTAATTTGGCACCCTTGAAAAAAATAATCTGCTGAAGAATATTAAAAGTAATGCTGATGCAGATTTCAGTTCAGAGACCTGCCACATTGACCTGTTGAAACATGTGTTTACATCTGTTTGGTTTTCAGCAAATTTTTTAAGGTGCATTTCCCTTATTTTGTGGTACTAGCATTTGTTATATGTGAAAGAAAACACTGATCTTTCCATTGTTGTTGCTCTTAAATGAACAAAATTTCAGCTGGGACATCTTATTGTCTATCCTAGATTATTTTAAACCATTAAGAGCAGGTTGCAGTTAACTAGATTTGAATAAAATTGTTTTGTTGTTTTTTCTTAAATAAGGATTCAAAGATTACGTAGAATATGAATTCATTTTTATGTTATGGAATAAACTTTCTATTTATAGCTTCTGTTAAATTAGAACCTTCTTGATCTTAACGTCATTTATCTGTTTACATGAAAATCTAAGTTTCAAAAAACAGTCAAAAATCAAGTCTGTCTCCAAATTATAGAAATGTTTTTCATTACTTTATCATATGATATAATGAAGTGTCACATTGCAAAGACTATTTACAGTGTAGTCTGTTTATAGTGAAGAAATACTCTCAAAATTAAAAAAAATATATATAGTACCACTCAAAAAGACTAAACAGCTATTGCAGTTTACACTGGCACAAATGTTCAGTGTTCCAAATTTACTTCTGTCCCATTTTCAGAATTAGTTCACTATATAAAATACTTCAAACTTATATTCTTCAATGAAAAAGAGTGGGAGAGTTTGCTTTTGGCAGTATTACAATATTTTGATTTCTGTTAGTGTGTTTTTCTTGTCATTAAAATGTTACTTGGACTCAAACTGCTGACCTTTCAGGATTTGTACAAAGTATTCAAAAACCGAGTTCTGAACATTGGCCATGAAACTACTGTCCTAACCTGATAAATGGATTGGAAATAAGCTACCCAACAGTGAGAATGGACCATTAATTTTAATCAAAGGTGATGTAGAAAGGCGAATGGGATGCATGACAATGTCAACAGCCCAGTAGGTGTTAAGGGGCTACACAGCCTTACTTGTTACTAGGTAGTGCCATTAGTTGAGCTTGGGTGAAGACAGAAAGCCATGCCTGGAATTGAATGACCAGGTCACTCCAAATTCTAATGGAGAAATGGTGTTTCAGAAATACCAGTGTAATGGTATCAGAAATCAAGGACAATAGTTTAAAAATATGAAGGGTGACATGGGCTTTTTTCCTTTCTTTTTTTTTTTTTTTCCCGTTTTTCCTGGTTTTTAAAAGGGAGCATCTTCTGCCTTTTGCAGTTTTGTCTTGCTCACTCATTATTATTTCTTGAAATGTTCAGCTCTAATATTTGTAAGCAATAAAGTTGTAGACTTAATGTTAGCAGAATGTCTAAATCTTTTTATATTCAGAAATTGGATAAATTCTACAGAATCCAGAATGCAGGAGAAACTAAAGTTATGGTGCTTATGTGCTTAAATAAATTTCTGTGAGAGAAATTTCTTGCTCTTTTTTTTTTTAACAACTTTATGCTAACATCAAAAATAAAACCAAGGCAGCAGCGACAGTATATCTACATTTGTGGTGTTGGTAGGATTAATCTTAACACATCCAAAGGTGGAGAGACTCTTCTTTCAATCAGTGAATATACCTCTTTATTTTGAATATTTGGAGGTTATAAAATACTGTATGACAGCTTGAATTAATGATGTTTATAATGAAGACATAAAAATGCAGGGATGACAAAGAAGCATTTTTATATCCATGCTTCAGGTTTTCTACAAAGGTTCATTTAATCTGACACAGCATTGCATGCATAAGAAAGATATGTATGACTGCATTAGTAATTCTTGCACTCTTATTTAGAATAAAATTAATTATGCTGCTGTCTACTTAATGGAATAGTTTTATAAACAGTAGTTCTTATTTTCTATGTACAGCTGAAGATCAGCTTCGTGCAAAGGGTTATGACAAAACACCAGATTTTATTTTAGAAGTACCAGTAGGTAAGTATTTTAAAAGAATTTTTATTATTTTGTGTAGAAGTGCTCATACAAAAATATTATGGCTACTTAAGTGAAGCATATTCTAGGATACTGCAAATAAGTCTCTTCAGGAGTTACCTAATAATTTTAAGAACTTCTAGTTTGAGTCAGAGAGATTTGATCCCAAATAGGATAACCCAATGTTTCTTCTTTAGTCTCTGAATGTTTTTATCTCATTATCAAAAAATAAAGGGAAAAAAAGCAACAGTAAAAACCCCCAAATCCCTGCTCCCTCTAATGTATTCTACCCACTGCCCTTCTGAACTGAACTCTGAAATAGCTATAATTGTCTTCTACTTCTAGACCAAATCAGTTCAAAGTAGTCTTAAGAGTATTACATTACCCCTATAGGTCATTGCATAAAGGTTTGTCATTGTGGAATTATTTTTTTGCCGTCACTTTGCATCCAAATAAAACTCTGCGGTTCTTTACTGTTTTTAAAAAGCCTGAATAGCAAGAAAGAATAAGGAACAAAAGTAAGTATAAAGGTCATGTTAAAGTTCATCTGCCTTTCCTGGCAGGTCTCAAGACCTTCATGGTCTTGAGGCCATGTGGCAGCTGTTGAACATGAGCTTGGAGGGAGAATCCACAACCTCTCTAGGTAACATGCGCCTATGCTCTGGCACTCTCACAGTGATAAAGTGGTTGCTGATGTTCAGGTGGAAACTCCTGTGTTTAAGTTTGTACCTGTTGCCTCTGGTCCTGTTACTGGACACCACTGAAAAGGGCCTGCCTCCCTCTTTACCGGCTCTTCAGAAAGTTGTATACATTAGTAAGATCATAAGAAGTAATGTGGACCATAATTAACACAGTACATACTTGGTGTTAAGGTACCCACTTTTATATTAGAAACATGAGATTATGTCCTACTCAGGAGCCTGATCAAAAGGAGGCCAGAAAAGCAATGATTTTTTTTAATTCTTGAGTAGGGAAACCAGAAAACACCCAAAAGAATTATTTTGTAATATTACTCTATTAGAAAGAAGGTTAAAAAAGTCATTAATTCATTTGCATATATTTGTCTCAAATTCAAGTAATAATAGTGCATTGCTTCTTTTAAATCATTCTAATCACTTGAGACTTACAGGAAATCATGTTCCTTGGATTCTTTTCTTAATGACTCAGTACATACCTAGGAAAGGCAGATGTTTCTTAGAAATAGCTTCTGAGCTGATTATACCTCAGCTGTTACATCTCCTGGGGTCTAAAAGCGTTGGGGGTGTGGAAGGATTTAGTAGTATAGGCCTACACAAGTTAACTGGGTTACTGATAGCAGGATAGTGGTGGCACATAAATCTTGGTGTGATGACTTCATGAGTTATTTTCCCAGATTTCCTGAGTAATTTTGTAGTCTGTGGTCAATCATTTGCTGCTATAGCCTCTTGTAATCTTTGTGTATAGTGCTTCTGGGTTTGCGTGTTCTCTGAAAACCTCATTCCAAGTCAAATTTAGGCTAAAGCATCATGATTGTGGATATTGTAGGTAACTTAAAATAAAGGTCTTTAAAATTTTTTAAGGTCTCTACAACGATACCTAACAATACCTTTTTGGAGAATTGATCTCTTAGAGTGGTGCTCATGATTTCTTCTGCAAAATTACATTGTCAACTTCAGAGAGGACATTCTGTTTTCAAAAAAATTATGATTTTATTAATATTGGTAGTTCACTCCTGCAAGAAATGATGAAAGACATAAACCAAAGCAAATACCGAAGCATAGAAAGAAAGAGAAATTCAAAATCACATTTTTTCACATAAGCCTTCTTACCCCTAACTTCTGATGAGGCATGACTGGCTTTACAAAAGAAAGAAAGCAGACACATGTCCAGGATAAATTTCCTTCCCTTTCTTACACCTTCCATTCTGGACTGGTGGCAAGTGTCTTTCTTTAACAGCTTAGCTAACTATTTTTATCATTCAGCAGAAGTTTCCAATTTATTACCTGACAACTCTCTTCCAGCAAAGTAAGGGTAGTAGAAGAATACAGCTGTTTCTTAGTCTACTCTCTTTTTCTTCACATTCTGTTTGAGTTATAATAAATGCAGATATTTGGAACAGGGTGTAATTAAACTGAAATTCATGTGATTATCTATTTAAAGTATTTTCTGGTATTTTTTCTCAATTCCCTATGTGTGTATTTGAAAGATAATTTTTACAAGTATGTAACTCGGTTGCAAGCATAAATTATGTGGTAGATTGTGGAGTAAATAGAATGTTCCCTAACAGTCTTACAGGCTGTTGGGTGTGATTTTCAGAGTTCAGTGTGTTTTCTACTGTCACTCTAGCTGTGGAAGGACACATAATTCATTGGATTGAAAGCAAAGCCTCATTTGGTGATGAAAGTAGCCACCAAGCCTACTTGCAGGACCAGTTTTGGAGCTACTGGAACAGGTATATTTCTGTTATTTTTCCTTATAGATAAATAGGACTTCATTTAAAAAAAAATTACTGGATAAAACACTACTGACTCTCCGTGTTACTAATCTGGCATTTTGAATGTCATTAATTAGCATTTCAGGTTGGTGTGCTGAAATATTTATGAAAAATTGAGATCTTAATTGTTAGCATGCAGCAAATATATATAGTGATTTTACAGTGATGCTAGATGACAGAGTAAGTTATTTTGGTACAGAAGTTATATGTCAGGTTGTTTAGTACCTGACTTAGAAGGAAGATTTTGCTGTTAAATTTTGGAATACGTGCAAGGTGACAAATTTGATAAAAAATCTTTACAGTCTATCCAAGTGGGGTTTATGTATTAAGGATGTTATTGCTCATTGTCATTGTAAGTACGACAGTACTGTTTCACAGTGGGTTGTTTTTTTAAATAAAGTATTTCTTTTGTATATTATTTACATTTGAAGCAATAATTACAATTATCTTTGAGTTGAAAATATAGTAAGTATTTGCAGGATAAGGGGAGAAATTAGTTGTGCTAGACAGAATTTTGTGGCATGTTGATGGTATTGGTGTAAAGATATTTTATTTTAAATATGGTTAAAATACTTCCACTTTATTGTTCTAAAAATCATTATTATGTATATTTGTAAATCTTTCCATGATCCTAGACACCTTTGCACTGGAGGATTTTTTTCCCAAAAAAAACCTAAACAGAATGCTTCATCTTCAGTGCCATTTTTCTGTGTATTAGAACCCTAAGAAAGATAGTGAGGCAAGTTAAAGTTTTAATAACAGATTTTTTAAAGCACAGATTTAGAAGTCTTCTCAGCATCCACAAGAGCCCATCAAAGGGATAGCGGAGAACATGGCACAAGTGTGTGAACGTGCAACAAAAATGGGGTGTGTGCCAATATCAGAGACTAATCTGGTGACCATTAGCGTTTCAGACAAATGTGAAAACAACTAGCATTAACTTTGGAAATACCTTAAAAGAGGTTCAGTAGAAAGCTGCAGAGAAGGGGAAAACAGATCTTGATAATAACATCATCAAAGTGCAGAATTATGCTCTGAAGCAACATTCTTGATTGATATGAAAAGGACCTGCTCTTCTTTTACAATCCCAGAAAGCAGAGAATTGGAAAACTTGAATCAAGGTAATGGGAAACCTGGAAGGCTGTCAGTTGTTGGATGAAGATATTATACTCTAGAGGAGTTGTAGAAAATAAATTGTGAAACACTGAATATAAAACTTAAAAAGAAATTTGAGTATATACAATATCTAGGCAAATGGTGAGAATGGCGGGAAAGACTGTGATGCAAACAGTGCTGAACTGCGCATTAGTGTAAAGGAAATGGAGCAGCTCAGCCTGGGAGAAGACCATCAGATGTACTGGAATACTTTCTGGTGTAAAGGGTGTGTTTGAAGGCATCCATTATGGTATCAGAGAAGAATACCTCCAAGAAGTGATTTTTAAACAGATAACTAACTAATTTTTAAAGATACTAACTTGAGATGTGGTGAAACTTGCACTGGCAGGTAGAATGAAGGCACTGATCCAGTTGTTTGTAATAAAATTGCCATTAAAGTTTCTGTCTTTTGTGCTATCAACTGTCTATCCACATTTTAGTGTAAAACATTTGAGAATAGTGTATACCATTTGCACCTGACATTTCCAAAGGAAACTTCTCTTATGCTTTTATCAAGAAACTAAGTTGGTGCTAATTTCATTTTAATCTTAACATGTACCAATTAATAATTTGACTTCAGAAGTGGAATAATATCTCTCACTGAGCTGTTAGTCAAGTGTCTTTAATGTTGCAATAGCTAGACTGGAATGATACATGGATCAATAAAACATTTTGGAAATAGTTTTGAGATATTTCCAAATCTGGTGTCATAGATGTTTGTATTGGAAACAGCTACAAAAATGGTTGATTCTTAAAGACAGTGAATTTACATTTGTATAAAGAAAACTAGAATTCTCCATAGTAAGATTTGTTATGCCCTGAATCAAAAATTCAGGTTAATTATGGAAATTAGGCAGATTTCTGTGGGGTTTTTTAAAGAAAAAATCCTGTTAGTTTTAATGTTGGTACTTCTTGGCCAAGCTGACAGTGCCACATCTTCAGAAACAAGTTCTGAATGACTGTATTTTCTAATATAATGACAGTTGGGTTAATGAACACATGTTAACAGATCAGGTTGCATGTGGATTAGACAGTTAACTTTGGTCTCTATAACTATGTATATGAAAGGACACAGGTGTAGCTGCACAAACTATGGACCAATTTTGTATTATTTAATCAGTCTATACAGAAGTCTCTCAAGAGAGAACCTGATTCTCAGTCAGTCCACCACATCTTTGTGTCTCCCTTCCTCTTGAAAGAGAAATCATTTGGAGAAAAAGCATGAGTTCACAATAGAGATGATATGACACTCAGTTAATAGTTTAGGGTTTTTTAAACCTGACCTATTGGTTGAATGTAAAGCAGAAATGAAATTCAGGAAAAAAATCACCTGTTAGATGTGGATAGAAACACAAATCTTGATACTTTGAAAGGATTGAAAGTGAGAGGTTTTAGACCTTTTCCATTCAGCTTTTTTATTGCTTACCTAAAAATTTGGAATCAAGCTGGAAAAGTTTGTGTTCTTTTCTCACATGTCACAGATAAAGAAGAATTCTATTCAGAATCTGACCGTATGCTTTGAGCATAGCTGGGGCTTGTTTGCTGTTGTGTGTATTTCATTAAATCCTGTACTTTGTGCTAACTAAATCTGTGCGTGTCTTAAATTGGTCTGTACTGACAGGAAAGAAATGGCACTTTCTCATTTAACAGAACAGCTCCCTAGATGCAGTCAACCATGTCTGTTCACCTCAGTGCAGAGGAACACCTTTTTATTACTCTGAGTTCTGCAGGGACAGCTTAGCGAGGTTTTTTATGGCTCATACATCAGTGGTATTGTTAAGCAATTTTCAATTGCAGTGGTGCACTGCAACCTCATCTTCAAATTAAGCTCCACATTAAAAATGTACAAAGTGTACCTTGTCAGTGGATTTGCACAGTTATAATTTAAGATGTTGTTTAGATATTAAGTTTTTTCAATAATAAAGAAATAGGAAAAGGCAAGTTTGGTCTTGCATATTCCCAGACTGATTTTGCAGAGTTATGTTTTAGGAAAAGAAAGATATTTTATATACTGGACAAACTTAGTATAAAGTGATTCATATACTTCCTTCAGTATGTTTGTTCCTCCAGAGCAGTGGCATCCGCTGAGCAGGCTATAGCTTACATTGCCCCTGGGTAAACAAAAAAACTCCATGCACAAAATAGAATTGCTTTGTGCACAACTAGTAGATACCACACTTTCCATTCTTCACTGGTCTACATTGGTGTATTTGTTGTCACTATGAGAATAAAAGCTATTAAATAGTCAGGGTGACCAAAGGTAACTTGGAGAGCATGAACAGCAAATTACACAGATTGCACTTTAAAATGAGGTCTATGGATCTATGGACCTGTTATAAGTTATTTTAGGGTTTAGACGAATGTTGCTGTTTCTTTTTCTTTCCTCCATAGTATCTGATTTTATAACTTTTTTTTTTTTTAATTTAAATTAAAAATTGGAGTCCTAGCTGTAAAAGTCTGTTAGTCAGAGCTGACAGGCATGAGTACAGTTTTCTAAGGATATGCAGACCAGCAACACATGGTTCAAACAGTAATTAGTGGGTGCACTGTCAGTGACTTGCTGTAAGATATAAACTCAAATACAGCAATTTACATTTTCTATCTTCTTCAAGCATGGCTAAGGCATATGTACAGTCTGGAATGTAATTTCTAGAGAGTCCCAGGAGATGGCTTGACGTCATTATTAGCTAAAGAGACTTTACTATATGTGAGGAAAACCATAGGAAAATGTCATATTTGACACTGTTATTAAACTAAAGGCAATTTCACATAGTGAAAAAGAAGCATTTCATCTTCTCTTTGAATAAAATGGTAAGTCATCTCCGTACTAAATTCCTTCCGCCATTTCTGTGTTCTAAATGTTTAGTCCTGTGTTTCTATTTTTTTGAGAGAAGAAATAAAAGTGAGTTTCCCATAAGTAATTTTAAAATACTATTCACACTTTTTGGAAGCCTAAATTCGTGATTCAGTGTGTCATTAATTGGTGCATTATACCTGATCTTGACACTTCAGTTCATAACTATAAGTCATAGTAAAATTATTAAATTATTGCAGAGCCGCCTCGATTAATAAAAAATATTTAATTCAGGTAAGTGCAAAAAGAAATTGTGCAAAGGATTATATTTCACAAGACAAATGCACATAATGTGTTCCTAGGTTGTTTTGAGAAAAGTGTTGCGTTCAAATTCATTTGCAGTTGATGGTAAGGATGAATTCTATGTGAGCAATGTCTGAATCAGGAGATAAGAATTAGAGGCATTTTTTGCTGTTTATCTCTTTAAATTGGTTTGACAGGTTACTGTGAAGACTGTTGAAGTAATAATTGTTGTCTGATTGTAGGTGATAGGGGAGGAGGGAGATGTGTTGTGGGTTTATGGATGTCCGTTCTGTTGGCAAGCTCAGTAATCTTCAGTTGTAGATGGTTAAAAAAAATTGTTTTGGTGAGTTGAAAACCATTCTAACAACTTGACTTGGAAGAAACCTTGGGAGTTACATTTGTCAAGTGGCTAGGAAAACTGTTCATGCATACCCAGTATCCAAAGCAGCCCAAACATAAAGAACTGAAAGGTCATTCTTCTCCTTGCAGTATGATGGTTTGTTGACATATTTTGACACACTGGTACAATGCTGAAAGGTTTTGACCTTACTGCAACACTGAGGGACTTAGGGTTTGTTTAGCTATCTAGTGCTTGTAGATTTTCACACATGCTGGGTTTTGCTATGCTCCTTTTTCTCTCCCTTCTGTCTCCACTTGAATTACTAAATTAATCTTAAACAAAAATGGATGTTGGTAGAAGAGAGAG